TTTCAGATCACGTCTTTCCACATTCCACTGCTCTCTCCGACTGGCGTATTCAATCGTCCATTAGAATGATGCATTTTGTATTCTTCAGCTCGTACAGAGCACCTTTTACTTCACCTAAGAAAGAGCCATATTCTCCCTTCGAATTGGACACATTCCTTAACAAGGCCAAAACTATAACCTTTTCACTGCCGCTATTCCGCCGACAAACCTCCATTCCATGATCTTGTCAGCTAGATTCGATTCTGGCGAGACACCGACACCGGACTGATTACGTACCGTTATGCCGACACTAGAGTAAAATAGTCTCCACCCGCAGAAGTTCAGACATCCAGAGCCTTGGCGCCTCTTTGACGAGAGTCAAACTATGCCCTCTTGGTACCTTGCGGCCTCATTAACTGGCTCTTTCTCTTTCCCACTGAGTGAGACGCTCGCCTCAGTCTTATTTGACGTGTCATAATTGCAGATACCTTTAAGAGATTGAAAGTTATCAGGAAATTTGCAATAGATGTGATGTTAATCGGCCTTACCGTATATGTGATTTGAAATATTTCATTAGTGGCATCCTTCTTGTCATAGAATTTATCGTTCTCCGGTGATCTTCATTGCCGTAGAATCAGCCACGCGTGCCCTTTATTTAATGATAATTTCTGTAGCTGGGTGCAGATAAGAGGCAAGAATGACCTCGGCAAGTTTCGCCACAGACTCTGCTTTAGACTAAGGTTATTTTCTACCGAAGCTCAAACGATGTTACAGGATCAAAAATGCTGAGACATTGTCTGGCACGGTTTTTCTCCACGACCCGAAACGGCAAAACGTCACTGAAACTTACTGAATGATGTACAGCTATATGAAAACTTGATATACAAACACTTTCTTAAAGGATTACTGAAAGATTCACTCCGCATATATCTACGAATGCCTAATATTTCCAACATATTATGCCCGAACGTTGCATTCATCGGGTGTAAAACGTTAAGGCATAACGCTAGTCCATTCTGTCTACCTTTCAGAACTACATTCAGAGTGTAATGGTTGATTTCT